GTTTTTATATCGAAACAATTTAGGGAACGAATTTTACGTGTTTTTGTGTGCGTTTCTTGTAGTAGTTATAACCAGTGGGTTGCCGTGTTGCGGGCGAAAGGGATAATGTCGGACAGTGCCGCAGCAATGGATTTTTTTTTTTTGTCTTTTCTCTTTCTTTTCTTCTGCTGCCCGATATCGCTAGAGACTCCTTCGGGGGGACCGCAAACGCACAATGTCTTCCTTTGTAAAGGCATACTGTGTTGCATACGATATTTTGCTGTGAGGGGCGTTGTGCACTGCAGACGGCGTGTGTGTGTGTGTGGCAGCGCGGGGGGTCGTGGCTCGCTGCGGAGCCGTGTGGCGTTGGCGTTGGGGCCGTCCGGCCTCAGTGGCGGTCGCCTCAGCCACGGGCCGCGGGAGGCACCGCCCTGCAGTCCCTCCCCGCCTGCGACGTTCCGCCCCTCCTTTTTTTTTTCTCGCACCTATTGCCGCCTCGTTTGTGCAGCGCGGGGCGCCTCCCACTGCCTGTGGCATGTTGTGTGCTGCCTCCTCGCCCTCTACCCGCTTGTTTTTTTTCCTTTGGCCGGTTGCTGCCGCCCCCAAGCACACTACAAACCGTTGCGCAGAAAAAAAAAGGAGGAACCGTCAGGCTCCCAGCGATGAGGTTTTGGCGGGGTCAGACGAGGGAGGTGGAGCGCCGCAGGGCCGCCGGGCTGCCCGCCGTGGACGAGATGCAGCGCTTCCGCCTGCTTGTGTGCTGCCTGTTCTGCAGCATTTGCACCTCCCTTGTCTACGCCTTTGACCTCTTCACGACGCAGTTCGTGGAGCGCTTTCACCTCAGCGTCGGCGACCAGTCCACGATCAGCACGGTGGGGCTGGCGTTCTGCTACTTCACGCTGCCGTACGGCTTCCTGTTCGACTACGCCGGCCCCTTTCCCCTGATACTCATCTGCCTTGTCACAGGCGGGCTCGGGGCGCTGCTGCTTGGCCTGACGTTCGACGGATTCATCCCGGGAAGTGTGACCAACATCTCTGTGTTCTACGCCATGATGAACACCTGCGCCGGCCTTCTTGACGTGGCCTACGTTGTGACCTTGGCGGAGGCCTTCCCGCGCAACCTCGGCCCCGTCCTTGCGCTTGCAAAGGTGCTGGCCGGGCTTGGCTCCTCCGTGCTCGCCTCCGTGAGCGTGAACCTCTTCGGCGACAACATCTCCGGCTTCATTTACGCCATCATGGCGTACTCCGTCGTGGTGTGCGGCGTGGCGGCCTTCGTGGTGGTCCTGCCGCCGTACTTCGTCAACGGGTGGCGGCGCCGCGGCAAGAGCGTGGAGCAGCTCGCCGCGATGAGGGCCCTGGAGCCCGCGTACCGCCGCAAGTTCGTCCCGGTGCGTCGCCTGGGCGTCGGCTACGCCGTTGTGGCCCTGCTGCTGGTCTTCTTCACCGTACAGGCCCCCGTGGTGAGCTACACGAAGGTGTCGAGGGGGGCTTCCGTCGCCCTCGGCGTCGTCACGATTGCGCTCGTGCTGTGCTTCTTCCTGATGCTGCTGCCTGTGCGGTGGCTGGGCGGCATGGACAGCGACGCTGAGGAGGAGCCCGTGCGGCTCGATTCTGCGGAGGAGGGGGCGTTGGCTGGTCGGGGCAATAAGGCGAGCCCCGACCCTGCGGACACGCCGGACGGGGCCGCAAGTGTGTCTGACGTCGACTCAGGGATCCCGCAGGATCCCCGCTACGGCGGCTCCGTGTGGGACAACCTGAAGCGGGCGGACATTTGGCTGATATTCATCGCGTTCATCTGCCATAGCGCCATGGGTGTTATTGTGGTTTACAACGCAAGCACCATCTCCGTGGCGTTGACTGGGCATAAGCGGAGCCAGCAGACCTCCGCCCTGTACACCGCGTTTCTCGGCGTGTCCAGCAGCGTTGGGCGGATGGCCATGGGAATGTTCGAGGCCTTTGTGCAGCATCAGCCCCCCGACAACCGCCGGTTCCTGGTGACGCTCGCGTTGCCCCTCGCACCGCTCCTTGCTGCCGTTGCCGGCCTCTTGTTCCTAACGATCCCGGGTGAGGCCATCCTGCTCCCGTACATCATCGTGTACTTTCAACAAGGCCTTTTCACTGCTGTTGCTGCCGTCATTTTCCCGTCGCTCTTTGCGAGCGATCATGGCGTGTACTACAATGTTGGCTTTCTGACCTCCGTGCTTTCCGTCATCGGATTCAACCGCTTTCTCTTCGGCTACGTGGTGGACGCGAAGCACGCTAGCTTGGGGTTTGGCCCAGAGGAGGAGTGCACCGTGGCGGAGTGCGTGCGCCTGCCGCTCATCGTCGCCACCTGTGTGGCGGCTGTGGGGGCCGCATTTGCGTTTCTTGTGCACATCCGCTACAGCCGCTTTGTTCGCGAGGTGCGTCGTGAGGCGGAGGAGATGGATTGATTTGGATTCTGTGGGTTTTTTTTGTGTTTTTTGCTTCCTTTCCGTTGAACATTTGAACTGCGTTGCTTGCGTGAAGGCTGGTCGTGAGTCTTATTTTTTCGTTTTAAATTCGCGGCTTGTGACCTTTTTGCAAGTGTTTTTTTTGTCTGTATGTTTGACATTGTGGCCACTGCGCGGCTGCGGCACGGCGGTGCGATGGGCCTTGTTGGGCGCTTTGCCGTACGTGTGTCTTTAGTGCTGAAGAATGGAAGAATGAAAAACGTTTGTTTACGTGAAAACGAATTCTCACGGGGCGTGCTTCGACGCCCCTGCGCAGCGGTGGGGGAGTGTGCGCAGGGTGTGTGTGTGTGTGTGTGTGCCTGCGGTGCTTCCAGCCACGGCGTTCTGCAGTTGAAGATGCGTGCCGCCTTTTTTTTTTTTTTTTTGGGGGGGGGGCTGCTGGCGGCCTTTCGGAGCAGCTGCAAGAGGCTGCGGGAGAGGCGAAGGACAAGGCGGATGCGGGCGGTGGTGCAGCGGGTGCTCAGCGGCTCCGTCACTGTGGGCGACGAGGTTGTCGGGGCGGTGGGGCGCGGCGTTGCGGTGCTGGTCGGGGTGCATCGCGACGACACCGTCGACGACGTCAATTACATCGCGCGGAAGCTCCTGGCGCTGCGCATTTGGCCAAGCGAGGACGGAGCAAAGACGTGGGACCGCTGCGTCAGGCAGGTGGGCGGCGGCATCCTGCTCATCTCCCAGTTCACCCTCATGCACGTGCTGAAGGGCAACAAACCGGACTTTCATCTGGCGATGGGCCCCGAGGGGGCGTCGGAGATGTTCCAACGCCTGCGTGACGCCCTTGCGAGGGAGTACGCGGAGGACCGAATTGCAACAGGGCGGTTTCAGGCATACATGCGTGTCAACCTGGTGAACGATGGCCCAGTAACGATTGTGCTGGACAGTCGGAATGGACAGTGACGCATTGCTGGGCGTTGCGGCGCGGCACCGTCCGGCCGCACTGCAGCGGAACAACTGCCCCTCCGAGTGAGGCTGGCACTCTTTATTGGCCGCCCTTTTTTTAATTTCCACCCCCTCCTTGCGGCAATTCTATTTGCTTTTTTGTGCCTTTTCTTCCTCCTTTTTTTTGCCTTGACTTTCCTGCACCGCGAAGAAAGCTAAGTCGAAAATAAGAGCAAAAACAGTAACAACAGCAACCAAGCACACCATCAATGAAGTACGCTTCCGTGGACGACTTCATCAACGCGTGCGTGAAGCAGCGCGATGCGCACCAGCCCGAGTTCCTGCAGGCGGTCCGCGAGGTCATGACGTCGCTCTGGCCCTTCCTGAAGCGGCATCCGGAGTACTGCGAGGACGCGCTGCTGGAGCGCCTGGTGGAGCCCGAGCGTGTCGTCCAGTTCCGCGTCTCGTGGGTGGACGACAAGGGCGAGGTGCGGGTGAACCGGGCGTGGCGCGTGCAGTTCAACTCCTGCATCGGCCCCTACAAGGGCGGCATGCGGTTCCACCCCGCCGTGAACCTGTCGTTTCGCAAGTTCCTGGGCTTCGAGCAGAGCTTCAAAAACGCCCTGACGACGCTCCCCATGGGCGGCGGCAAGGGCGGCTCGGACTTCGACCCCAAGGGGAAGAGCGAGCGTGAGGTGATGCGGTTTTGCCAGGCCCTGGCGACGGAGCTGTTCCGCCACATTGGCGCCGACACGGACGTTCCCGCCGGCGACATCGGCGTCGGCGGC